ACGAGACGAGACGAGACGAGACGAGACGAGACGAGACGAGACGAGACGAGACGAGACGAGTCGAGACGAGACGAGACGAGACGAGACGAGACGAAGCGAGGCGAGCTGAGCACAGCCAACTTGGCGCAACATTTAATTATCGAATAGAGTACGTTACAGTTTTATACAGATAATATTGACAAATGATAGGAAATATTCATGTACATTTACAATATGCCATGGTATAAAAATATTAAGGCTACTTTAGGTAAATATAACCGAATGTCGTCTACTGTAAATTTGTTCGAATAGAAATCTCGTCGAGCGTTACACGTTGCACGCGTAAATAATCGTTCGATTTCAGTTGGTTTAGAAGCGGAGAACAGGTCGTTGGTGTGCCGGATGAAAATCTGTCGGAGGAATAATCGAGAAATGGGTAAAATTGGCGTCGAACATTGATTGCTGTGCGTGTGTTCGCATCATCTGTTCGAAATAATAGAAATATTTTGCAGCTGATCTAGCTGTTTGTATTAGCCGTTCGTCTAGTGCCATTCTTTCACATACATCTAACATCTAAGCTTACATGTGTGAAATTCTGTATACAAATATGATAATATTATTCATTAGTACAGTATACAAGGATTACTTTTACAATAACAAGAGTGAATCCCTTTGGTATTATTAGTTGCTCGCTTAATTGTTCTGTTTAGCAGTAAGTCGTTTATTTCGTGCTAGACAAGGTGGATACATGATAGTATTCCAAAAGATTGATCGGGTTGAACGGTTGAATGGTTCATCGTTTAACTAGGAGAAACGAACGCGGTCGGCGAACTCGAACGAATTTCATTGCATTCGATAGAACAACACAATCTTCTTTCTCGCTGCATACGACTTTCGATCGAACGCAATCGACAAAGAAGACGAAACGGTAATCACGAGCGGAAACGAGAGAGAAGAAAGCAAACGGGAGGGGAGAAGAACCAAAATAAACGGGAATAAAACTATGGAATCCGTTTCGAATAATCGACGGGTAAGGTGTACAGAAATATACTCGATATCAGGATAGAATAACAATAAGAAAATTTCAGAATACAATTATCGAATCATACACGTTGTTTTAATTGAAATTAACAACATTATTATACAATCGACGCTACTAAACGTTAAATTCCATTGATCTTAATATCGTTGGTACTCAGAAACAATTGGGAACAACTGATTAATTGGATGGAAGGAAAGCAGAAACAAAAAGGGGAATATTTTGCGAAGGTATCTTTTGTGCAAATAATACGACAAAATGTTATTTGAACATGACGCGTCACCGTCTCGTCTCGTCTCGTCTCGTCTCGTCTCGTCTCGTCTCGTAGCTAGTTTTATGCTTCTCTGCATTACAAATGTTACAACCAATAGATTCGATCAATTAATTTCTTCGATACACGTACACTCGGTAAATCTTACTGGTTAGGAAGTAGATTACAAACGATAAAAACTCCTTTACGAAAATGTAAATAAAGCAATCGTTCGTTAGATTAGTCGTTCGTTTTTACATGAATTATATTAATAATCTTTTCGTGTAGCCACCAATCTCTCAAACTGCTCGTCTTTTCTCCTTGCGGGAAATTCTCTTAAACGTAATTATCCTTAGTTTAGCCGAAAAGATACAAGAGACATACAAAATCTGTACTGTATACGATGCGATAGCGAATCGATAATATTGTTCAAAAGTAAGAAACCTGGAGAAGAGGTATTCAAAAGTGTAACAGATGTGCCCGCGTGCACGCGATTCGGGGGAACTCGTACAAGTGTGTGGAGTAGGAGTGGGAACTGAAGGTGAGAGCGAGCGACGAGCTAGAGATAGATAGAGATAGAGATAGAGATAGAGATAGAGATAGAGAGAGAAACGGAGAGAAACAGAGCAGAGACAAAGTAAGAGAGAGAGAGAGAGATTTTTACGATTAAAAGCTGAATAAAATATACAATGAACACATTACATCCATTCAAATATCTATACAATAATAATTAATATTTAGTAATAATTATTTGTAATAGCATTCAATATAAAAAAAAAGAAAGAAGTTAAATAAAGTCGATACATTTAAAAGCCACATTATTCTAATTATCTGCAATATCACAGTACTTGCTGAAACATACAAACTTGTGTTTCCGATAGACACGGAAGCCAATTCAAATGAGAATGGCAAGCACAATATCATTTCTCCCACAAATACAAATACAAATACAAATATATAATACACACGCGTGTCTATATAAATATATATTTGCATTTGCGTGTAGTATATATGCGTGTGTATATATATATATATATATATATATATATATATATATATAAGTATACATATATATATATATATACACTAGCCATTGATCATTTATTCTCTTTCATTTCAATCACCGTTATGTTCACACTTGTATTTGAAATTGTGTATACGTTTCACCGTAAACGAATTGGAGACAGTTTTGGAAAGATCGTACATTTTTATGAAAAATCACAAAATTGTAAAAGCTATCATCTTACCTCAAGCTATACTGCGTAACGATGTAACAATAAAATTCTAAAAATTGTATTATAAACACACGATAAATGCCCATAAATTTGGATTTTGCGATTACGTCTAATTCTGTCCTGCCATCGTTGTAATTTTCGATTGATTCGGACCGAAAACTTGGATATTCGGAAAATGTGTATCCAACATATCTCCTATTATGAGAGAAATTATACATGAAGGAGATCGAGGGGACCGAGGGGACCGGGGCTGGGGCTGGGAGGGGAGGGGAACGGAGGAGATAAAAAACGAACGTGGACCTCGGGAGACAGCAGAAGAAAGTCAAGTAGGGGTAGGAATCATGAAACGCACGGACGTACACAACGGGTCAGAACTAAGGAACAAGCGCGAGGGTTTTTGTTTTCGTTTACACAATCTTATAGTACGGTATACGTGTTCGTTGAATCCACAGTAACAATTTCATGTTAACATCTTTCACGGTGTTCTATTCACCGTTCCAACTACCAATCCAAATTTCGTTTCAATCGAAATTGCTTTCGGACAATATTTACAAAGATTTTACGATCGAACGTAAAATATCACGAATTAATCACCTTATTCTCGGGGACCAGCAACACTTGCGAAACTTCCGATACTTGGAAATCTAGCGTCATACATAAACAGGGCCTTGATTGTCATTATCGTCTAAGCTTATTCGACTAGGGTACGCAGGACCACCACCGTCATCAAAAAATCGTCTAAAAGTGAATTCGAAGAAACCGTGAAACGGCTTCCCATTATCCAACAGCTCGTCCGACTTGTTCGAATCGGACGATCCGGAATTCCGTAATTTATCGGGATCGACAGGATCGAAGTTGCTCGTGTCGGTGGGATACTGTATTCGAGGTATATGAGGTGCCACTTGTCGACGCAGCCCCTTGTCAAAATCGATACTTGCGAAAAACGGATGACTCTTTACTTCGTCCGCATTCTTACCTAGTCGGCGATCCGCACCAACGCAAAGCTTCAATATCAAATCCATACCTTCTGCAGAGAGATTCGCCTGCTTTGGGATATGCAGAGTCGTCTCCCAATTAATCACCTGCAAATCAAAACATTCTCCAGTAACGCGAATAGCCTGGTTACCGCAACGCATCTCGGTTTCTCGTCGTCGCCACGGCGCTTCTTTTACTCGGATCCTTTTTAGCTTTTCAACAAATTACCTTGTACTGCGTCTCGGCCGGAGTATTGGCGAGGAATGGTGGAGAACCGACCAACATTTCGTACAAAATTACACCGACGCTCCACCAGTCGCACAACTGGGTATACCCTGTCCTTTGTAGTACTTCCGGTGCAATGTAGTTTGGCGTCCCAACCAACGAGTGCGCCAAACACCTCTGATGCTCTCTATGCCTCCTGCGCTCCAGCGGCTTCAACTGAATGCAACGGCACTCGTTGTTCCAATCGTCGGCGGGATCCATGGAATCTTGTTTCCCGTGACCTGTGTCCACAACATTCTTTAATATTTCATTTCGTTTCGTTTCGTTTCGATCACTCGCGTTCTCCTCGACTACGACGGACATTCGAAACGATCGAAAAAACTTGAAAAATATTACATCTTTAGCCTTACCGTTTTGTTGATAATACTTGGAGTTGTGAGTCCACCGGAAACCCGTGCACAATCCAAAATCTGTCAACTTTATGTGTCCGTCCCGGTCGATCAAGATATTATCCGGTTTAATGTCTCTATGAATGAATCCCATCTTGTGCACACTCTCCACCGCGCACGTAAGCTCGGCAATGTAAAATCGTGCCAACGGTTCCTTGAAAATTCCGAATTTGATCAGCAACGACATCAGATCACCGCCAGGAATATAATCCATCACGAAGTACAAGTTGTCCTTATCTTGAAAGGAATAATAGAGTTTCACTACCCATTCGTTGTCAGCCTCTGCCAAGATGTCTCGTTCAGCTTTCACGTGAGCAACTTGGTTGCGGTTCAGCACGTCCGCTTTTCGCAACGTTTTCATGGCGTAAAACTGATTCGTGTCCAGTTTCCTGACCAAAGTCACTTCCCCGAACGCGCCCACACCGATCGGTTTGATTTTCGTGAACATCGATTTGTCCATCTTTGCCCGCTTCAGCCTGATGTAATTCGATTCCTTTTGCGACAACATTTTCCTCATTTGACACTGCGCCTCCGCGCTGAGACCTATCTTGGCCATCTCTGTTTCCAGCTGAAGCCGACGATACAGTCGTTGTTTGTGAGACTTTAATACATTTTCCACGTGCTGTTCCATGAAGAATTTAAACGCTTGCGGCGAATAGTTGCGAACCTTGCAGTCCCTGCGTTCCTCTTCCTTCTCCTTGCTCATGTGCTTGCGCTCGGGTATCGGAGACTGATGTTTAATCTTGTAAGAAGAAGGTGTACTCCCTCCGCCGCCCTTCGCTCCGTTGCTCTCTGTCGTATGATTGTTGTTATTGTTATTAT